TTACAAGCAAATTTTGGAAGGGTGAAAAACACCACATCCACAGTGTAACACCTACTTCAGCGTTTTCACATTGTGGTTAGGGCACCCATTACAGCCTTCTATTCAGACAGTCAGAGTAGTTACAAAGTGCAACCAAAACATTACACGTTGGGGAGCTCTTCTTCGCTTCATTAAGAAATGCTTTTGTCAGCTTCTTCCTTGAATAAAGGGGTTATTAATTCAAGACTAGAGATCACGCTCGGGTGACTTCTCTGTGGGAATCATGGTTGTACATATGTTACAGAGAATGGTCTTAATTCAATTAATCAAACAAAATCCCCACCAAATATTTGATGCAACAAATTAAAACCCACGTTTGTACACAGACTATTTAAAAGTTCTACAATAAGTCTGTCAAATTTTCAAAATAATAATTATAACAAACCTTAATAGGAGAAATATGGAAAAGTTTGAAGAAACTAAGAACAGAATTATCAGTCACCGAGGGCTCCACTAATTCTGTGTTTAGAGCAGCAGAATCTTCCTGAATTAACTCTGTCTGAAAAAAAATTAATCAAGATTTTCTATTTTAAGTTTTTTCCTACCATAATTAGTGCAAAGAATGATTTAAGTTTTTAAATAATTTTCCCAAGAAATAAAAATTATTACCCGTCTTCTTTTGGCTTCAGGGTCAGTTGTTGGAGGAAACAGTGCAGCAATAACTCCTAAAAACCCCTGATCAACTTTTAAGGCCATTTCCTGAATGAGGACCATAAAATACCTAAGGGAAAAAAATTTTTTTAAGTGGAAAAGGATTTTTTAAAGATGGAAAAGGCTTTCTATCAAACCTTGTAATCTTCCACGCTAAAACTTCATTTTGGCCAAAAGCCACAGCAAGATCTTGTTCCTTGATCTCTAAAAAGGTGTTACGTTAACAAGATCAAAATCTACTTACACTGAGTTTTTTTTTTTTCATTAAAGTGAAGGTTTCACTAGAGGGAATACTGCTGTATTAACACATAGCATTTAAAGTGGCAAATTCCACATTTATCATATTACAGAAGAGACAAAAACAACTAGATGATGTAGCATGTTTTATCTAATTTTTGAAGTCCGCAGCAATTGATTTAAAGAACACACTTCACAAACACACTGATCATTCACATTTCAATGACTGTTTTACGTTCTAACGGGAGCTACAAAAGAGAGAAAGTGGTGAAATGAATTTTACACTGAAAAATCTGCAGAAGATATTATTAAAATAAGTTTCAACATAGAAAATCACTTGACCAAAAGTGGACTGAAATGTTCAGGTGGAAAATAATTTTTATACAAAAGCCACTTACAAAAGAGTAAAATTTATGTTCAAAGTAGACTCTTATTTTAAATTCCTTTTGATAAACAGGCGACTCTTTACTTACTTGAACTGTAAGACTTTGCTGTACTCATTAAATCTTGTGATGACACTGACATCAATGAAAGGTTTGGGCTCTAAAAGGAAGGAAAAAAATACACAAAAAAGGCAATCAAGCTTTCCAGTAGGTCAAAATAATGTCTGCTTAACTCTTATACGTAGAGTATATCTCAACACAATTTTTTCCTTTTTTTTTTACCTGAATCCAAAGCAATAGATTTTGGAGGGGCCACAGGGTGAAAGACAACAGGGAACACTGTACCCAGTAACTGACTATCAACCTGAAAAAAAAAGAAAAAAGAAAAAACTAACTCAGCAGGACTTAGAATAATTTAAACTTTGGTTTCAGAGAAAATATCATAGAAGATGCTACTAATTTCATCGTAATTATGTATCTGAATGTATACGTGCTGCTATTAGAAGTTTCACTTTAAATCTAAATTTCTTATATATCTCACCAAGGGCAAGCTTTTATATAAAGGAATATATAAATATCTTCATGGCTGCATTAATACTGTGCAGCATGAACATCATTAATGGAAATTTTTGTACCTATGGATCACATGAGATTTCAACTCTCTGTAATTTAAATAAAATGCAAATGGAGCCTGGATATGAAATTAGAGGTTATGTACTAAGAAAAAAAAAGACTAAAAATGTCCTAAAAAGTACTAATCGGTAGTTAAAAGGAAGAGAGGGAGGAAGGCAGGAAGGGAGCAGGCAAACACGCAGCCAAAACAA